TAATATTACCAAATATAATGGAAATTTAACTTATGAGTAAAGTGACATTTGAAATCTCAATGGGAATGTTGTTGTTGTTATGTGCCGTGGAGTCAGTTCCAACTCATAGCGACCCTGTACAGGGTTTCCAAGGCTGTAAATCTTTACGGGAGCAGAAAGCCTCATCTTTCTCCCGCAGAACAGCTGGTAGTTTCAAACTGCTGACTGTGAGGTTAGCAGCCAGACTCGTAACCACTACGCTACCAGAGCTCCAATATTTCCTACCAAAGGGCCTCTGACAATGCGGGGCAGGACGCAGCCTGAGTGTCCCACCATGCTGGGTGTGAAATATTCTGGCTCCGTCAGCTAGGTCTCCAGGGAGGGGTCCAGGAGGCTGAGGTTGGGATGAGCCTGCGTTCTTCATGCCGCCCCCTACAGTCTCACTGTTCCTGGCCTTGCTCCCACTGTCTCCCCTTCACTTAGGACTGGGCCTGGTACACAGGCGGCGCTCAATAACTGCATGTTGAAAGGATGGGGGCAGAGGGCCAATAGGTAGGCACCTCCCAAGAGGCCAGTTCTTGTGTGGCGCCCTCCCTGGCTAGGCCAGGTGGCCCCCTGGTGCCGGTCCCTGAGAGGGCTTGGGCGGGCAGCTCACCATCAAACTGGTACTGGATGATGTTGTTGAAGACCTCCAGGAGGAAGAAGACCAGGTGGTGGTTCTGGGCAGCGGAGAAGAGGAACCAGGTGGTGGAAAAGGCCTCCAGCAGGTGCAGCAGCTTGTTGGCGGCCACCATGGAGAGGCTCTTGAGGTAGGGGGACACTGCAGAGGAGGGGCCAGCTTACTGTGGGGCCCCAGCCACCCCTGCACATCCGAGTCTGGGCAGGACCAGATGCTCCTGTTTCAATTCCTCCCTTCCTCTGGCTTAACGAAGACCCTGAGAGAGCCTGGAAGACCAAGCCCCTAGAAGCCCAGGCCAGGCTTTCTACAGAGCCCCTGGGAGCTGTGTGGGCTCCACTCTCACCCCTTGACCATGGGGACAGATGTACTGTTTGCAATGCTTCTCACATGTCCCACCTCCCCCAGAGAGAGAGGCAGGAGGACACAGACTAGGTTATCCCCATTTTGCAGAAGAGAAAACTGAGACTCAGAGAAATTTGCAAACTTGGCCCCGAGTTCCCCAGTTATCAAATAATCGGACAGGAGTACAGACTTCTAAGTCCTTCTAGATTGTTCAGCTATGATATCATTTTAAAAAGCAAAACTCCAAGTCAGCTGCATTCAGCCAACAATTATAACTCATGACAATCCCGTGTGTGTCAGAGAACTTGGCCCTAGAGGACTTTCAGTGGCTGAATTTTCAGAAGCCAATCACCAGGCCGTTCTTCTGAGGTGTCTCTGAGTGGACTAGAACTTCCAGCCTTATGGTTAGCAGCCAAGCATGCTACCTTTGCATCACCCAAGTGCTCTGCGACATCATGTTGCCATGAAGTAGATTCTGACACACAGCTGCCTAATGTGACAGAGAAGGGCTGCCCCGGTGTTTCCTAGACTGTCCTCTTGATGGGAGTAGATGGCCAGCTTTTTCCTCCCACGGAGTGGCAAGTAGGTTTGAACTGCTGACCTTTTGGTTGGCATCTGAGTGCTTAACCACTGTGCCACCAGGGCTCCTAACTCTATCAGTCTGAAACCCACTGCCATTGAGTTGATCCCAAGTGACAGTGACCCAGTACAGGGTTTCCGAGGCTGTAAATCGTTATGGGAGCAGATAGCCTCATCATTCTCCTGAGAAGCAGCTGGTGGGTTTGAACTGTCAACCTTGAGGTTAGCAGTCCAGTGCTTATCCTACAGCACCCTCGGATGGCACGGCACTGTGAGTGGGGGGTTGGAGATGGACTGCCAATCACGCTCGGGTCTGGGCTGAGAACCCATGGGGGCAGAACAGTGTCTGTGTTGCTTAGTAAGACTCCGGGAAGGAGCTGCTAATTGAAGGGGGAAAGTAAAGTATAACTCTGACCCCAGAGCTCACCATCCAGCAAGAGGCTTCCTTATCTCCACCCCAGCCCAGCCAGCACATCCCCTCTCAGGTATCCATGCTGATGTCACCCTGGTGGCTATAGCCACGCTGCCGCAGGCCACTAAGCCCCCCTGCCTCCTCTCCTGGCAGGATGAAGGCAAAGAGGAACTGAACTTGACGTCCCCATTCTGGGACTCTAGCCACCTCAACCCGTGTGTCCAATACAGTAGCCACAAGCCACCTACGGCCATCGGCTAGTCCCATGCAAGACACACAGTCAGTAGAAGGAAACGCACATGGGGTTTCAAAGACTTGGCGCCTCCTCAAAAACAATATAAAACATCTTAATAATACATTTCTATATTGGCTATGTGTTGAAAGCAGTTCAGTATGGCTCTGTAGAATAAGTGCTGAACCACAAGGTCATTTGAATTACAAGGCTGGTGGTTCAAACTCACCAGTCACACCTCTGAAACCCCACCCAGGGTAGCTATGAGTCGGAACCAACTCATAAGCATTTAACAACAATAACAACAACAAAGGGTAAAATGATAATATTTTGGATATAATAACAACCCCCAAAAACCCCACTGCTCACTAGAGTGGATTCAGTAGTATTTTGACAGACATAATAACCAGCCCCTTCTTCTACAACACCACTGTTGGGTTCGAACAGCCAAACTTTAAGTGCTGTCGAGTCAGGTCCAACTCACAGCGACCTTGTATAGGGCTTCCGAGGTGCAGCTGGTGAGCTTGAACTGCTGACCTTGCGCCACAATAGCCGAGCACAAACCATTCATGCCAACGGTCATTTAGAACAAGGGAGACTAAATAAAATGTATTATGAAAATGTGCACCATCTGTTTTGTGTTTTAGATGTGGCTACAGCGTAGTGGTTACGAATCGGGCTGCTAACCTTAAGGTTGGCAGTTCAAAACTACCAGCCATTCCATGGGAGAAAGATGAGGCTTTCTGCTCCCGTAAAGATTTATAGCCTCAGAAACCCTGTGCAGGGTCACTATGAGTCGGAACCGACTCCACGGTACTTAACAACAACTAGAAAAATTTGGAGTCCCGGTGTGGCACTGTAGGATAAGCACTGGACTGCTAAATGTGCTAACCACAAGACTGGCAGTTCAAACCCACCAGCTGATCTAGCAAACCCTATATAGGATGTATGAGTCGGAACCAATTTGATAGCACACAACAACTGGACAGGTCAGCTGTGGCTTGGCGCCACCTGGTGGAGAACTCAGCCTACCGTTGACCACGATGGTGAGTAGGCAGTCGAAGAGGGGCTGCAGCCGTTGGTGCCCACTGGTGATGATTTTGTGGAAGACCTGTGTGGGGAGCCAGGGGGGTCAGCTATGAGTCCCCACCATCTCCAGACAGCCAAGAGGGCATCACCCCAACTCCCCCGGATTCTGGCAGCAGGCACCCCCTCACCACGATGAGCAGGTCGGCATGAGTCCCCGTGAAGACAGGAATGTCCATGGGCACACGTACTGAGTAGGGCTTGTTAAGTCGGACCCCGAAGTTCCGCTCCCCGCTCAGCAGCAGCAGGATAAAGACCCCAATGTGCATCAAGCCCACCCGTGCTGTGGTACATGACACAGGTCACCATGAGGGGTGGGGAGGGGAGGGAGACTGAGGCTCAGACTGACCAGACAGACCCCCACCCTCTCAAGGTGCGCCCCATCTCACACTGATCTGCGCGGGCGTCGTTGAGGAAGTAAAGGGTAGGGACCAGGATGTCCAACACGTCACTGCTCTTTAGCACAAAGAAGAGGAACTTCTGGGGACAGCAGGTGGACTGGTCAGAGGGACAAAAGTTCTGCCCTGACCCCTCAGGGTATCCGCTCCCCACTCTGGCTAGAGCCCCCCAAGGCCAGCCCACCTTGTTGAAGTCACAGAGCTTCCAGAAGAGAACCAGGAGCTCCTGGTGGAACTTGACCTTCTTGGTGGAATTAGGCAGGTATGTCTGGAGCAGTGGGTTGGATAGCAGCCGGGCCATGCCCTTAAGGATGAACTGGAAGTCCTGAGGCAGGGACAAAACAAGGGGGCTTCCAGGCTTCACATACACAGTAAAGTAGGCCCCGGCCCACCTGGACCCCTTGCTGCCCGTCCTCCCAAGCAGCCCTGTGTCAGGAGAAGCACTATTGATTGAGCACCTACTCTGTGCTTGAAACACTTACTGACGAAGATCAAAGAGCACAGCCTTTGGTATGGATTACATCTCAGTGTCAAGAAAACAAAAATCCTCACCACTGGACCAATAAACAACATTCTCATCAACAGATAAAAGATTGAAGTTGTCAAAGACTTCATTCTTCTTGGATCAACTATCAACACTCATGGAAGCAGCAGTCAAAAGATCAAATGATGTATTGCATTAGGCAAATCTGCTGCAGAAAACCTTTTTAAAGTGTTGAAGAGCAAAGATGTCAGTTTGAGGACTAAGGTGCGCCTGACCCAAGCCATGGTATTTTCAATAACCTCATATGCATGTGAAAGCTGGACAGTGGATAAGGAAGACCATAAAAGATTTCATGCTTTTGAGTTGTGGTGTTGGAGGAGAATATTGAAAGTGCCATGGGCTGCCAAAAGAACCAATAGATCCATTTTGGAAGAAGTGCAGCCAGAGTGCTCCTTAGAGGCCAAGATGACCAAACTCCGTCTCTCATACTTTGGACATATTGTCAGGAAGGAGCAGTCGCTGGAGAAGGATATCATGTTTGGTAAGGTGGAGGGTCAGAGGAAAAGAGGAAGCCCCCCAACGAGATGGATTGGCCAAGTGGCAGCATCGATGGACTCAAGCGTGGCAACAATAGTGAGGTTGGCACAGAATCGGGCAGTGTTTCGTTCTGCTGTGCATAAGGTCACTATGGGTCGGTACTGACTCGATGACACCTAACAACTCTGTGCTGGGCCCCCCAGTTTACACTCTTGTTTATCCTCATCACCCTTTACAGAACAGCAGAAAGTACAGCCATCCCTCAGGTCCCATGCCTGGAAGTGTCTGGACAGGACCAGAACTCAGGCCCGCTGAACATTCACCTCCACTCTCATTTCTTCTCCACCTCTACAACTTGACCTCAGAACCACCGCCTCCAGGAAGCCTTCCCAATGAGACCATCAGGACTTGTGTGCATCTGGAAACTCCTGCAGCCCTGCGGTCACTATTTCATCTGAGGTGGCCTAACGCCGTGGGGAACTCTGGTTCCTCCCAGTAGGATCAGGACACCCCGGATTCTTCCCATCATTCCCCTCCCCACAACATGCCTGAGCAAGACCAGGACTGGACTCACCTCCTCGCGGTGGATACGGGACAGGTAGTTCACGAATAGGTTCTCGGGCCCTGGCGGCTGCAGGGGTAGAGGCCTGTGGTGAGCAGGTGCCTTCACCCCTCCCTCTGGACCCCTCCGAGCTGGAGTCCCCTGGCACCCACCCCAAGGTGCCGCCCCAGTGCCTGGCAGAGTCCTTACTTCAGCATCGTCCATGACAGTGCCGGTGGTGGTACCGTCCACAGTGGGGCTGGAACTGCTGGCACTATCATGGTCCAGAGTGACAATGAGTACCTGGGCTGCCTCCTCCACCAGGGGCTCCCGGTAGTCAGAGAAGAGCAGGTGGTTGTAGGGGATCCCGTAACCCACTGGGTCATAGGCACACACGGTGTTGAGCAGAGAAGTGAAGAGGGGCAGGGCGTGTCTGCAATGGGAGAGAAGGGTGGGGCTGCCGGGGAGCCAGTGAGGTACCCTGAATCCACCCTAGCCACTTGGGAGGCCAGCCGAACCGCCCTTATTCAACAAGGGTACAGGGCCCAGAGCTGGGGAGCAGGGCCACAAGCCTGTCCCATCCTGAGTACAAACAACCCATCTCCATGTCTGTGCTGGACACAAGTCACATGGCGCCCCCGTAGAAACCATGTCCAAGCTCCTTAGATTCTTAAGAGGCAGATGTGTTCCCTTGGAACTAAGAGAAGGGACTGGAAGCCCACAGGGGAACACAGCCCATGGTGACCCCATGTGTGTCAGAGCAGAGCTGGGCTCCACAGGGTTTTCAATGGCTGATTTTTCAGAAGTAGATTGCCAGGTCATTCTTCTGAGGCACCTCAGGATGGATTCAAACCTCTTACCCTTGGGTTCGCAGCTGAGCGCATTCACTGTTTAAAACACCAGAGGATTCCCAGGCACAGAGCACACGCTCAATCACCCAGCTCCCAGGCAGCCACGCAACCAGATTCCGAGATAGACGTCAGGGTTCAAGCTCCTCGTCTTTCTTATGGATGAGGAAACTGAGACCCAGGGAGGTTAAAATAGTGGCAGTCTGCCTAATAAGGCTGGTAAGAAAGTAAACCATCCAGCATATGACGGTGGCTGATGGGCAGGATCCCCTGGGACCCCTTATCTTTAGGAACAAAATGAAAGAGTTTAGGCAGGAAGCCAGCAAAACCTCAAGGACGAGGCGTTTGGTGTAGGAACCAGGGTCTGGGAGGAACAAAGTGAGCCATCACCCCCATACTTTCAGCAGAGTCCTGGGCACAGCATCCTCAATCTGGTCAGGTGACTTGTGTGGCCCTTCTGTATATTTCATGTGCCCCCTTAGCCCACATGGGCTGGGCTTCCCCCTTCTCTTTAGACTCCATCCCCATTCAGCATCTAAACTGCCCTAGGGCTGCTGAGCGCTTGAAATGTGGTTAGTCTGAACTGAGATGTGTTACGAACGCAAACTACATAGTAAGTTTGGGCACTCACTGTGCAAAAATGAATGCCAACTATCTGTATCCTTTTGTTTATTAATTATGTTAAATTATTTTGGATAGAGGAGCCCTGGTGTGGCGCTGTGGGTTAATGCGCGAGACTACAAAATCGGTTTGAACTGAAAGGTTGGCAGTTCAAGCTCACCAGCTGCTCCTTAGAAACCCTATTCATGGTCACTATGGATTGGAACCAACTTGACGACACTTAATAACATTTTCCATAAGGGAGCCTGGGTGACGTAGTTGGTTATACACTGGGCTGTTGGCCACAGGGCCAGTGGTTTCAATCCCCCACCACTCTCTGGGAGAAAGATTAGGTTTTCTGCTCCCATAGAGATTTACAACCTGGGAAATCCTATACAGGGTTGCTATGTATTGGATGGAGTCCTGGGTTGGCCCTGTAGAATAAGCTCTGGACCAAAAGGTCGGTTTGAACCACAAAATCAGTGTTTCAAACTCACCAGCTGCTCCTCAAAAAATTTATACAGGTTTGCTATGAGTCGGAACTGACTCCATGGCTCTTAACAACAACAATGTAGTGGATATATTGTTGCTGTTGTCATTGTTAAGTGCTCCTCAGAAACATTATACAGGCTCATATGTGTTAGAACTGCTGACCTTTCAGTTAGCAGTCCAGTGCTTATCCTACAGGGCCATACCAGGACCCCTTGGTTAAATGAAGTAGAATATTATAATTAGATTAAATAAAATAGATTATTATAATCAATGTCATCTGTCTTTTTTCAATTTTTTAAAATGCTGCTACTAGACATTTTGGACTCCTGGTGTGGCACTGTGGGATAATGCACCTGACTGCAAAGCCACTTGAACTGCAAGGTCGGCGGTTCAAGCTCACCAGCTGCTCCTCGGAAACCCTATACAGGGTTGCTATGGGTCAGAATCAACTCAATGACACTAAAAAGCAACAAACAACAACTAGACATTTTAATTACATATCATATTCTTACTGGACAGCACTCTTCTAGATGGAGGCCCCAGGCAGGAGTCACCCAACTCCAGAACGTCCCAGGGTCTGCAAAGTGTGGGTGGCAAACCCTGGTAGGTGAGGCTGTTGCGTTACAGTTCGTCACCACCAGGGGGCAGCACATCCCTTCACATCTGACTGGTGAAGGGGCTCAGCTCTTGGCTGCCTTTAACAAGGAAGAAAATGGAAATCCTCACCTGTTTTCCGTTGAACAAAAGAACTGCACCCATGGGTTGGTACTGCTACTGTCCGGAGCTGGGGGCAGGTACATGGCTTCGGAAAAGCAGGTCAGCAGCAGCTTTAGCAGCTCCGTCCTTGGCAGGGAGGAATGGAAGAAGGGTTCAGTTCCCCTCTAGAAGATGCCCACCCAAGCGGCGCCCAGCCCAGGTCATTTGAAAGAAACGGTCCCTGTGGACCCGGGTTCCAAAGAAAGAAGGGTCTCCTCGGGGTGAAGTGGCATGGGCCCTGGGGCAGCCTACACTGGACTCACCGGTTTGTGTCGTGGGTGTAGTTGGGCGGAGGGGAATGTGCAAAGCCCACGCCAGCCTCCCAGATGTATTCACAGCTGTCCAGGGACTGGATGTCCTCTGCCGAGTCCTGGGACAGGGTTTCATCAGGCTACAGTTCAGAATGAATAGCAGAGGACAGAACCCACCAATCCAGGACACCCCCACCCCTGGGGGCTGAGACCCTCATAGTTTCTTACAGACAGGTACTCAAATACCCTGGATCCAAATTTACAAGGAAAAAATGGATCTCTTCAGATCTCTTGAAAGCTCACTTTGCTTCCATCATACACTGGTGGCTTAGTCCAGCTTGAGACAAGGAGACAAGGAGGGGCTGTGGATTGGGAGCCTCTCTGATGGTTCGTGGGGATGGGAAACAGAGAACGAACACCCAAGTCCATGGAGACCACAGGAAGGGTGAGGACCAGACCTCCTGTGTCCAAGCTCTACCCCCACCCCTCCACGCACCTCCATCAGGCCAAGACAATGGGTGTCTGTGCCCAGCTGCCACATGCTGAGGGCAGGGCCAGGCGTAGCTGGCTGCTCTCCAGCTCTGCAGCCACTGTCTCCTCCCCTGGCGCCATGTGTGCCAGGCAGCCCAGCTCTCTGTGAGAAGCCCCTGCCCCTGCAGCGTCCAACCCAAAGGAGCTTCAACTAGAAGGGTCCCCAAGCCAGGAGCAGAGCACTTCCTGGCCGCAGTGCGATGGGCTCACCACAGTGGTCCTCCGGTGGCTCTGGACCGTGAAGTCTGGGCAGAAGAGCAGGTCGGCGATGGCCAGCAGCAGGGACTCGGCCAGAGGTCGGGCATTCGCATCATCATCCTCACCCTGCCAGGACACAGGATCACAGGGCCCCTCAGGGAGCTAGCCAAGGAAAGATGGCTCTGGCATGAGGGAGACAGGACGGGGGCCCAGGCAGGGAGGAGGTGGGCAGGAGGAGGAGGAAGAGAAAATGGATTCCTGGTCACCTCTAACCTCTCAATGAGACCCAAGGGAGCAGGGTAGAGAGGGAGCCTGAGGAAGGTCCTGGACCAGGGGAAGAGACCCGGTTATGTTCCCAACCTCAGGGCTCCACCCCGGGTCACTGGCCTAGAGATGAAACCCAGGCTGGGGTGGTGGGGTGGTGGTAGGGTGAGACTGCATGGCTTTCCTAGGCCCCCAGTGCCCTGTCCAGCACCCCAGCCCTCTCTACATCCACATGTCCTCCCAGCTGTATGGGGCAGAGGTTTTGGTGGTAGCAGCTGCCCTGACCTCCAGCCCACCTTCCTCTGTCCTGTCAGTGGCCCCTTCTGGGAAAGACTCGCCTAAAAGGGTGAGCCAGTCCATCCCCAGGCCCACTGACCCCTCCTCGCCCAGCCCCGGGCACGGTGGACCAGAAGAAGCCCCTCCAGTCAGGATCCTCGAAGATGTAGGGCAGCACGCGGGTGAGGAGGCGGCTACAGTTCAGGACGATCTGCTTTTCCTTCTCTGAGTGGCAACCACTCTCTGCCCCCTGCACCAACTTCTCCACGGCCTGCAGGTGGGCAGGGAGCAGAGGATGCCAAGGGGTCAGGGGAGAACCCCGCCTTGTAGGGCCAGCTCTTTAGACAGAAGTGTTGGCACAGTGAGGAATCGGTCAGCAAGCCCAGTGATGTGGGACAAGAGAGCAGCCCAGAGCATCTTTCCATACTGGCTGAGCCTCAGTTTCCTCCTCTGTAAAATGGTCAGCATCAGCCTCACAGAGCTGTTGGGGAGCTGACTGAGTTGAATTTGGAAAGTGCTCCCAGGTGTGGCCCATAGGAAGCGCTCACACAAGGAGGCTTCTGGGATTATGTCCAGCACCGAGCTAGGTGGGGAGAACTGGGGAGTCCTCAGACCGCTGAGGCCTGGGGAGTGTCCAGGGTGGCTGCTCTCTGACCGCTGGGCTGTGCCTCCCTCAGCTTCCCTGATGAGGTTGGGAAAGGGCTCTGTTAGGAGGGACACCCCCACCTTGTAGCACAGGGTGGCCAGGTTAGAAGGTGACTCCTCCCGCACGGCCCGGATCTCCGCTGCTGGCACCAGTGCAAAGACGTCCTGCACCGAGGTGGCCGTGTCTGCCCAGAACTGGTCCCAAAAGGCGTCATCGGTGGCCTCCACGGGCTGTGGGGGGAACCCGTGTCCCAAACATGAGTCCTTGTCTGTGGGTCTGTAGCTATCCCAATCTGTGGCCAGGAGAGACTCCCAAGATGGAGGCCAGGGCCCCCTAGTCCATCCCACATGGTGGACATCCTCAACACAGTCAGGTAGAGGACACTCACTACAGGTGGTTGGAGTCCAGCTAGTGACCCTGGCTAAGTCACTGTCCTCCCCTGGTAGGGCACACTGTCCTCCCATGTGAACTGGTCACATCCTCAGGTCACGGTGCTAGGTCACTGCCAAGGGACCCAGACTAAGGGGACATAGCCATCCCCATTCACTGGAGCTGCCTCTCCCAGCCACACACAGAGTCCCAGACTCTACCCCCTTGCCACACCCAACAAATGCCAAATGCTGTGGTTGGAGCCAACCTCCCCGTTGTCTGACCCACACATGCTCCTCTCAGTGCCCATGGCCATCCTGTGGAGAGCCCCACCTCCACTTCTCTCCTTGATCTACCCTCTACACTGTGCCCCACCATTGTTCCAAAGCACAGTGCCAAACGCATTGTTCCCTCACTCAAAGACCTTCCGTGGCTCCCCACTGCCTGCTGGACCAAGTCCAACTCTCAGTCCCACAGCCAGCCAAAGTCTTCCTTAAATACACATGTATACACAAACACATGCACACACATAGACCTACATACAAACAGGGCTTCAAACAGTTCATGGAAAAATGGAATTAAAAGATACTGGACACATAGAGGCAAATCCTGTTCAATGATGATGCACGGAGCAGACTGTAATCCTTGCAATGAAATGATGAGTGTAAAAATGATGCTCTCCCATGTAAACTATCACTCAATTCACAATAAAAACTTAATAAAAAAAGATACTAGACATTTTCTATGAACTTCTTAAAGCCCCCTCGTATATACATGTACACAGATACACACACATGCACACAACCACCCGCCCCCCAAAAGTAAATGAGTTGCTGTCGATTCTGACTTAAAACAACCCTCATAGGAAGGAAGAGAATTGCTCCACAGGATTTTCAAGACTGTAAATCTTCACAGAGTAGGGTTCAAACTGCCAGCCTTTCTGTTAGCAGTCAACTACTTAATTAACCACTGTGCCACCAGGGCTTCTGACATACACACACCTATATCTCCTGCCCCTCCACACAACCTGCTCTCTCTTCCCTTGGTTCAGGACCTTTCTTCGTCCCAGCATGCTCTCCCTTCCAACGCCACATTCTAACATCCCACCAGGCCTACTCAGGCAAAATGCCTGGAAAATACTTAGGCTTCTTGACTTGACTCAGACATTCCACTTACAGGAATCTATCCTAGGGAAATAACCAGAGATATGCATGTTTATTGAACATCAATAACAGTGAAAAGCTGGAATCAGACTTCATAGCCAACGATCGGGAATGTTTAAAAAGTTCAGGTACAGCCATATGATGGAATATTACACAGCCATTAAAATCATGCTTTCAAAGAATAATAATGAATGGAAAATGCTGACAGTACAAAAGAAGATATAAACAAACTATGTTGGTGTTATGTTATTAAGTGACATCGGGTAGTTTTGGCTTAGTGACCCTGTATAGGGTTTCTGAGGAGCGGCTGGTTGTTTTGAGCTGCCAGCCTTGAGGTTAGCAGTCCAGTGCTTATCCTACAGTGCCACACCAGGACTCAAACACATATATAATTGTGTTATATATGAGTAAAAGGGTAAAAGAACTCTAGAATGTTAACAATTCTCTTTATATGGTTTTTATTTCTTACTTTATATTTTTATGTAAGAACACATGTTACTCTTTTTCTTTCTGAATACTCATCTGTTGATGAACATGACTGCCGCATGTTCAAGGCACTCTGCAGTCAGGCCTGCCCCTTTAAGTTCCCTCCACTTATCACCTCCTGCAGGAAGTCTTCCCAGATTGCTTCAATTATAAAGTCTTTTTCCTTTCCTAAAATCCTAGGGCTGAGCTAGCCCAAGGTACCGCTATTACCATAAGTCTGCACTAAATGTTATCACTCTTGTCATTGTTAAGTTCTGGCTCATTGTTGCCATCAAATCGATACCAACTCAGTGACTTTATGTACAACAGAATGAAACACTGCCCAGTCCTGCACCAACCACGCAATCTTTGCTACACTTGAGCCCATTGATGCTACCACTGTGCCAATCCATCTTGTTGAGGGTCCGTCCTCTTCTTTGGTGACCCACCACTTTGCCAAGTATAATGTCCTTCTCCAGGAACTGGTCCCTCCTGATAATATATCTAAAGTATGAGAGACGAAGTCTCCCCATCCTGGCTTCTAATGAGCATTCTGACTGTACCTTTTTCAACACAGATTTATTTGTTCTTCTGGCAGCCTGTGGTACTTTTAATATTCTTCTCCAACACCATAACTCAAATGCATCAATTCTTCTATGGTCTTCCTGATTCATTGTCAGAATTGCACATGTGTATGAGGCTACTGAAAATACCATGGTTTGGGTAAGGCGCACTTAGTCCTCCAACTGACATCTTTGCTCATGAACACTTTAAAGACATCTCGTGCAGCAGATTTGCCTAATGTAATATGTCGTTTCATTTTTTTGACTGCTGTTTCCATGAGTGTTGATGGTTGATCTGAGCAAAATGAAGTCCAACTCATAGCAGAGGGTGGGGTGCTTATCCCATGGCACCACACCAGGACTCCAATATCACTTATCATGAGAAAAATAGATATGCCTTACTGAAAAGGAACTTGGTTCTCTTGAAATCACTTCCAAGGACTTCCAGGCTAATGGGTTTGCACCCACTCTGGAAATCGACACCCCCTACCTTCTCCTCTGGTACTCACTGCATCCCTGAGCCTATGGGTCTTGGTGCACTTGCCTCCTGGCTCCACTGGTCCATGATCCAGTCTTCCCTGACCTCACACTTGAGATTGCAGATGCTCAATGTTTGCCCAACTGAAACCAGTCCTGGAGAACCCTGCAGTCTGTTGGCTGGGCAGGACCACACACAGTGGGGCTATCCAAAGGCAGGGCTGGGGCTCTCTGCCTCACCAAGGTCAGGCATCCCTGCTCCTGGGGGTCCTCACAGTCACCTGGGGCCATGGCCCTCTGGACAGTTGGCACAAGGACTGCTCATCCCCAGTTAGCTGGGGGAGAACAAAGACCAAAGCAGGGGTCTGGGGCTGGGGTTTGCTGGCCCCCGTGACCTCTGCCAGGATAGCCCTCTGGCACTCACTGGGGTCCTAGGCCAGGGCAGCCCAACCCTGCTTGGCCTGGGCTGGGGTAGGGGTGGGGAAAGACATTCCAGAAAACCCTTGGAGCTCTGAGCTCCTCAGATACCTCTGTGAAACACCTCATCTCTGACACTCCCCACCCCCTTAGAGGAGGGGGCAGGGACTCATCTGGTCACCAAGAGACAAGACCTCTGATCTCATTCATCCAAGTGTCACCTGGGGCTTGAATTCACAACTGAGAAGGACCCAGGGTAGCCCTCTCTAGAAACAGTCCCAGCTAAAAGGCTGGCCGCAAACTTCCAAAGTTGAGGCTGACATCTGCCCCACCTCCAACTTGGGCCTCTGGTTCTGGTCCCACTGTGACTCAGACACTTGGATCTGTGACCACTGGCTGACCACAGCAGGTTAGCCTGATGTTACAGGCATTGGCCAAGGTCCTGGGGGTCCGTCCCTTAGGCTTTTTGAGAGAGAGTCCTGGTTCAGCTCCTGCCTGTTTCCTCAGATGGGCTCCACTCTGGAAACCCAAGGTTGCTTCTGAAATCTGAGCCAGTTCTTGGGAAGGGTTTTTTTGGGGGAGGTGAGCTGGTACCGCTGTCTGTCAGAAGATGGTGCTCGCCCTGGTGGGGAGCAGACAGTGTTAAGCAGTTCAAGCTAGGTCTCCGCTTGGCCCCAGGGGACCAGCTACACCTTTTGAGTTTCTCTGGGGACAAGGAGTAGAGCTGGACCAGGGATGTTCTAGGCAACTAAGGGCACATGTGGTCTGATGTGGTCTGTTCTGGGAGCACTGTGCTATCACTGCATTTACATGCATGGGAGCGGGGGGCTTCAAAAAGTTTGTGAAACAACTCTAATATCTTTTCAATCCATTTCTTCCATGAACTTTTTGAAGCGACCCAGTATATGTGCACACATGCGCAAACCGGTCAGCAGAGAATCTCAACTCAGACAGTGTCTAGATGGAGGTCTCTTACATCCAAGAACACCCCCAGGGCTCCACCCACCCTGGGAAAGGGTCAGGAAGCCCAGCAGAAGTTGTTGCCCTCAGGGTCAGCACCAGGTCTGGGCCAGGGCTGCACAAAGGGGCAGGAAGAAAACAGGAAGCAGAACAGGAAGGTGGGGAAGGTCCTGCCACAGGAAAGGTATTGAACCCGCCTGTCTGCCGCCCAGAGCAAAAGTGTCTGCTTTCCCAACCTCTGAGACAGACGTCCTGTGGCCAACAGGCCTGGTGTCCAAGGGACACTGAATGGCAAGGTCTGGGCTAACTCTCTGGAATCTGTTCCTGACCCCCAAGCTGCCCTGGCCCAGAATCCTAGGCCTCAGCCACAGAGAGTTTCTGCAGGCAGCCTTAGCCCCTTCCCACCAGGCCCAACTTGGGAAGTAGAGCAGCCCTGCCTTGGCCAGTCACAGCCAGGGACAGACACAGGGGCACCGTGTTTTGGGGAGGTAGCTGACACAGGTAGGAATCTAGCCCATCCAAGATCCACTGGATCCCGGTTGTGCTGGTCCTGCGGGCCTAGCAAAGGACCTCGGTTGTTGAGCCAAGCCCATACAACATTCCTCCAGCAAGGTGTTTCCTCCCCAGATAGGTAAACATTGGTACTTCCCTCCTTCCTGTGGCCCCACACTGAGGGGCTGCTCCACCTGTCTTCCAGTGACCTCGAAACCCCATCCCAAGAAAGCAAAGTGCTAGGACTATATTAGAACCATAGTCCTGGGAGAGGAGACTCAAGGTCTGATTTCTATGGAAGGTCTCTGGGTGGGTGCTGGGCCCTCCAGAGGTCCTGGGCATTTGTTGTACCCGTAAGCTGTCCAGAATGAGAACCCAAGAGTGTGGGGACTCTGAGGCCTGGCCTCCAGGGATGTGACCAGCTGGTTGTGGGAAGATTGCTCTCTGGACTCTACTGTAACTGCCCAGAGCAAGGCAGAGCCTGCAGTGGAATTGGGGCAGGGGTTGGTTCCAGAAGGTAGCAGGTTCAAACTCAAAAGTGGAGAGTCAGGACATTAAGGGAAGAGGAGAGAGAAGAGCTGGGCAGCAGGGCAGCCTTGCTGTGGTCCCCTGGGGGCTCAAGGCCGTGGCGGTACCACTTGTGGACTAGGCTCCCACGCCAGCAAGCAAGGGATGGCGGGGAGAACAAGGGCAATCAGGGTCCTCAGCCCAGACTCGGAGAACAGAGGCGGCGAGGGGACCGGCATGCACAACATGCCACCTCTGGGCCTGGATGAGAAGTCCTTGGCCAAGACGCTGGGTCAGGTGGGCATGGGGGGCAGGTCCCCTTAACAGGCTGCCTCGCTGCCCACCACTCTGGGCCTTCCAGGCGCTGGCATCCACCCGGGCCCAGCAGGCCTGGCCGCCGAACACCAGCTGTTTCTCCAACCGCAGCGGGCGGGCGCCGGTCGGCTTTGTTTGCATTGAGTCAGCGGGGGCTGTGCGTCCGGGACCCGCGGGTACCAGGGTCAGAGCCAGGCGCTGGGTCCGGGAGGCGGGGATTATAAAATTTTAGAGGAGGCTGGAGATGCAGGGCCGGGAGCCGGGGGCTGGACAGGGTCGGACAGCAGTGGTGCCTGATCAGAGATAGGCACACGTCAGCCTAAGGTGGCAGCAGGGACCGTGGGGAGGGGACTGTTCCCGGGAGAGGAGATCGGGGCTGGGGGCGCAAGCTAGGGGATGGAGCCCCATGGTACAGGCCCAGGGATCCTACTCCGGCCCTGCCTCAGCGTCGCCCTCGGGATTGGTGGGTCCCCATTTCGGGGCGAACCAGGCTTGCGCACCAACCCCCGCCCTACCCAGCCCCCAGCCCGGCAGGTGGATTGAAGGCCGGAGCCCGGGGCGCACCTGCGTCTTGGTGGTGAGCTGGATCACCGCCTTCCGGAAGTTCAGCTTGGAGTCGGCCGACCCCATGTCGCTGCAGCCCGCTCGGGTCCCGCCGGGGCTCCGGCTCCGGCTCCCGCTCCAGCTGCGCTGGCCCCCGCTGCTCTCCCAGGAGCGGAGCTGCGCACCCCGCCCGCCAGCCACCCGGCGTCGGACCCGCCCCCTACAGGCTCCGCCCAGGCAGGCCCCACTCCCGGCAGGCCCCGCCTCCCGCACCTGCTGCTCCGGCTCCGCTCCGCCCCGCCCACTCCCTGCGCAGTGCCTGGAGCTCACCCCCGGCTCCTGCGTGCCCTCCACTTTCTCGTTCTCTCAGCTCAGTCCCAGATCTTCCACGAAACTTCCTTCTGTGTCGAAGTGTTGTTCCCTCTTCTGCTGCCCAAACTTCCGCCCAGTCCCCAGACCCCCCACCAGTCCTAGCAACCTGGTTCCTCACCCCCACCCTCACTCTTCATCCCTGTACCATCACTGGGCCCACTCTTCAGCAAGCCCTCTTCACAGGAGTTTCTTCTTACTCAGCCCCTTTTCCTCCCCATCGTTTTTTTCCCCCTACATCTGGGGCCCGGTTCTTCAATCCCAAATCTCGACTCCTACCCATTCCCTGACTCCAGGCCCAGCCCTTCCTTCTGTGAACGGTACCTCTGGCCACATCCCTTCCTTTTCATCCATTTATTTCAACAAACGTGTTTGAGGAGCTGATGTTTACCAATACTGTGTCAGGGATGGGGGCAAACGGGGGATTGCGTCACTGGGCCTGCCCTTCATAAGCACCTAGTTAGGGAGAAACAAGTAAAAAATTATCCATGGTGCAACATAGGATGGCCTTTGATAGAGGCAAATTGGTCATTGTTGTTAACAATGTGACCCTGTTAACATAGGGTCACAATGTTAACATAGTGACCCTTGTACAGGGTTTCTGAGGCTGTAAATCTTTCCTGGAGCAGAAAACCTCATCTTTCTCCTGCAGAATGGCTGGTAGTTTCAAACTGCCAACCATTGGTCATAGTAAGTGTAAAATAACATGACCATAAGATCTCTAACACAGCAAACTTCTGAGGTAGGTATTTACATTTGGAGAAACTGAGGCTCAGAGCAGTTAAGCTACTTGCCCAAAGCCACACAGCTAGTGAAAAATAAAAGTAAAAGAGCAAATCCAACTCTGGCTCCAAAGAGGCTGCACTTTTTTTTTGTAACGTCATCTTGCATGCTTTGTCTGGAAGCTTCTGGAGGTAGGTGTTGGGTGCCGTTTGAGTTCACGTAGGAATTCCCTAGATGAAAAATTAGGGATGCACCATCCAGGCAGTATAAACATGGTGGAAATGCAGGATGGAACCTAGAGAAGGACAGAGATGTTGCAATTTTGCCAAATGAACAGACTCCATGGGACATAGTCCTAGGGTAGCTCTATTCTTTCTCCAGAGATGGGTGTTCCTGCCTTGGATGAAATTCTTGGCAGGCTCCATGACTTTTCTAAGCATTCTGAGATAATGAATGAATAGTCCCTTTATTTGGCCTTTGGCATTAAAAAAAAAACCTAGTCCACAGTACAAATCACTCAACCCCAGTCCACCTCAGAGTGATGTTTCACACTCTGAATCTTGGTACTAGGAAAATGCAAACTTAACCACTACACTCTCATTTGAGTTGTTAACAACAATTGATGACACCAACTGCTGGAGCAACTGGAACTCTCATACATTGCTGGTGGGAATACAAAATGGAATACAGCTGCTTTGGAAAAATAGTCTGGCAGTCTCTTACAAAGTTACATAATTACAAAGTTACATATATAATTACCCTATGACTCAGCAACCCCACTCGAAAAGTTGACCTAGGAGAAATGAAGATGGGTGTCCACATAAAAATCTGTACATAAATGTTTATAGCAACTTTGTTCCTAATGACCAAAAAATGGAAATAACTCCATGTCTATCAATAGATAAGTAAACTGTGACAAAAGCAGTAACAATAACATGGATGAATCTCAAAATAAGTGAAAAAACCTAGACGCCAAAGGCAATGGACCACACGATTCCACTTATATGGCAGTCTGGAAAAGGCAAAACCATAGAGACAGAAACAGGGCTGAAGTAAGGCATGTGAGAACCCTAAATAGGATCACCTGGGGTGATCTTCTGCTGCTCACACACTCTAAAGGAATTTGTGAAACATGTTGCTGTTGCTAAGTGTCGTCAAGTCAATTTCATCTCATAGTGACTCTGTATAGCGTTTGGAGGAACAGCTGGTGGGTTTGAACTATCAACCTCGTGGTTGATCCTAGAGTGCCACACCAGGGGTCCTTGTGAGATATAGAATATAGATTGTTGTTGTTAGGTGCTGAGTCAATTCCAACTCATAGTGACTTTATGCACACAGAACTATAGAGACAAAAATGTATATATGTTGTCAAGTGGGGGTCCTACTCATTCATAGTGATCCTATATAGGGTTTCCAAAGAGCAGCTGGTGTGTTTGAACTGCCAACCTTGTGGCTATTAATCCAATGCTTATCCTACAGCGTCACACTAGGGCTCCATATATGTATATGGTTGTATCTTAACTACACATCATATTACTTTTTTTTCTTTAAGTTTTTATTGTGAATTGAGCAGAAGTTTATAGGGCAGATCATCAGTTTTACATTCAACAAATCATATACTTTGTTTCATTACAATTATTATAATCCCCTCCATGTACCATCAGTTAACAGGATTTCTCTCTATTCATTTTAGTCTTTTTAAAAAAAAAACACTCAGGCATATATAAAAATTTACACCACCAAAGGGCACATTCTGCAAGTCTGCCTCCTGGCCGCCAGCTTTCAGTCTCTCTGTTTCCATGAATCTTAGAATCCTCAGCTGATCCCTCTCTCCATGTCCCCATCTCTGCCTCCATCTCTGGCGTCGCTGCTTCTCTGGATAAGATCCTGCATTCTACTTATGCTCTTCTCCCTTGATGGTCCTAGGGTCCTCTGTTTCTGGGCTGTAAGATTAACTACTCCTCCATTTTGGTCACAAAACTTCTGCCTTTACAATTGTGACAGTCACAATTGGTCATGATAACAATTACTCACTATTGAATCATAAGAATATTATCACCATCTCTTTTTGCCAGACCCATCTAGACAAGATGAAAACCATTCAGTGGGGACTCTCTTTCCCCACATACTCTTAAACTAAACTTCCTCTTGAAACCTTGTAAGCCAGTCACTTAATGCCTTTATCACTCCCTCATTTCAGGTAGCTAATGTCTAAGGTACCCATCCCTATCTACGCTGTATACAGAGGGGATAGCACTGATATTTGATGTAAAGACTTCTTCCCTCTGTGTTGATATTTTGAGCTACTTACTACTTCCATGAATATAGGTCAAGTTCATCAAATTGTAGCAATTTACCCTCGTTTCCTTTATCAAAAATTATTTTCTTTTTTATCTTCCTCTAGTCGAATTCTGATTATCAAACCATCGGGCTAGGTAAAATGGGTACTATCTGCAACTTTGGGTGTTCTTGTGCATCTCCCCTCACTTCATATCAGCTGGATGCTTCACTCTCAGCTCTAGTCCTTCGTGGTTATGTCCTTGTCCGTGGGCTCAGCAGCCAACCTTGTAGTTCAAACTGACTTTGTAGCCCAGTGCATTAATCCACAGCACCATACCAGGAGTCCAGTTCATTAGCTAAGCCTAAATCATGTCTTCAGTTTAAATATGACTGCATAGTTTCTGAAGTGAACTGTTTAGTGTTATCAATCATAAGCAAGTTGCTGCAATTACTAAATCCAGGCATAGCAAATCAAGAATTAGATTACTGAGGACTGAGTAGTTTGCAAACAAAACAATATTCAGAATCACCTGATAGGAAATACACTAGCCACTCCTTCCTATAATTTCCACCATTAGCTTTCACCCTAGAAATATATTCTTACTACAGAATCTTGTTTGTACACCATCCAGAAACTTTGGACACAAATTTTCAAACAGTCCACTAAATCAGAGCTTAGTTTTATTGGTTCTCCATTGTAGGTAACTTTTTGTTTTTCCTGAGCCACTCTCAGGATTCTTCCCTTGTCTTTGGTTTTAGAAAGTTTGATTATGATATGTCTTGGTGATTTTATTTTGCAATCTATCCTGTTTGGGGTTTATTCAACTTCTTGCATGCTTATCATCTTTCATGATGTTAGGGAAATTTTCTTCTGACAACTCTGACAATTTTCTCTATTTTCACTGTGCTTTTTTTTTTTTTTTTTTTGTCTCTTTTTGTCTTTCTGTTCTGAAATTCTTATTACCTGAAAGTTGTTCCTCTTCATAGTGTCCCACATAACTTGGAATTTTTTTTTTTTCATTCTTCTTTCTGATTGTTCTTCTATAAGACTAGAATTGAGCGATTTATCTTCAAGCATACTGATTCAGACTTCTATAGCTTCAAATCTATACCTTTCCCCTTTCAATATATTGTTCATTTCTGCAAGCTTAGCATTAATCTGGATTTCTAATGGCAGGCTTTATATTGTTTCAAAATTTGCATTTTTGTGTGTTTGTTCCTGTAGTGTTTTCCTGAATTCTTCTAACTTTTTTCTGTGTTCTCCTTGATTTCCTCAATCTTTCTGTCAATTCTTTGAAGGTACCTAGCTAGCATTCTTTTGAATTCTTTTTCACTTAGTTCCATAACCTTCTCTTCCTCAGAAATACTTCATGACTCTGCATCTTGGTCACTTTTAAATTTTGGTTCTACATAGCAAGTAAATTTGTATAACTGAGAATAAATAAAATTTACAAAATAAAATTTATGTTCAAATTTGGACATTAACACAACAATTTCTATTTGAAAAGTAGTTTTTTTTTTAAAAAAAAATGGATTTGGGACCTGTCATGTTGTTCTTCAGGTCTGAGATAATTGAAAGAAATAGTATTTATAAGACTATTGGAAAGATTTGCACTCCCGTGTCATCTAACGCTAACACGCTCTTTGCAGATCTCCACTTTACCACCTGAATACTCACTTACTTTCCACCCTTTGATGCTGCATCCTCACAGTGGATTGTACTACTGTGGTACTCAATGAGGGTGAGACCAAACTCTAAGGACATGATGCAAATATGAACAGAAGGG